GGGGGCGGGGCGCTGTGGCCGCGGGCTTTCCGGGCGGCGGGCGCGAAGCCGGACAGCCCCGACCAACCTGGCCGGCCAGGTCCCGCCTTCTCGCCGGCCCCTACCTGTCCTCGCCGCCTCTCCTGCCTCTAGGTCGCTGTCTCGGCCTCCCGGCGCCTGCCCTCAGGTTGTCAAGCGTCCATGATCGGCCCGGCGTCCGACGCTTTTCTACCTCCGCCGACCCGTCGGCCTTATCGCTCCCCCGGAAGCGTCCCACTGCTGCACTCGAGTTCCGCCCACATTAGGTTCCCCTCCCTGTGCTAACAGCCTCAAACCTCCAATGGGGCTCGGCCAGAGGAAGGGGTCCCTGCGGGACTGTGGCCCAGGAATGGGGTGGGTAGAGGCCTAAGAAAGAAAATACAGCCTAGGCTGTACTGGGGCCCAAACCATCGCCTTCACGGAGCTGAAATCCACCCCTTTTGAATGAGCTCTACCCCCCAATAAGCTCCCTATGGCGGCTGCAGCTTCCCCGAGGTATGGAGACATATTAAGCCTAATAACAACTGTTTATTAATCGTTTTTCCATGTGCCAAGTGCTGTACATTGTCTCGTTGAATTCGCATAACTCTATGGCCTGTAACATTATACTCATTTTTCAGGTGAATTAACTAAGCCTAAAAATCCAAAAGCCAGTACGTAGCGGATTCCGCTTTGGAACCTAGGCTATCTGAAGGCCAAAGGCCATGTTCTTGACCTCTATTCAGAAGGTTTTTTTAAATAAGCAAGAGATGGGTTGAGCCGACAATGCCTGTGACCAAAACGACATTCGTGGCTGCATTTGGAACCTACCAACTTCCCCTGGAAGATGGCTAAGGAACTGCTAGATAACTGAACACTTCAGCTGATTCCTTTGAAGTACAGTAAACACCACAGACTTTCAGGGTTTTTGTCCTTTTTGCTCTTTAGAATACGTTTATTAAAGCTGAGGACACTAAAACAAGGAAAGGATTAAGATAAAAGAAGCAAGGGGGGGGGGGGCCTGCTGTGGCTCTCTAGAAACATGGGAAAGAAAGTGAGCCAAGGTAGGGCTGCTGTTAGCTCACTGGAAAGTCAGAAAAAAGGGGGGCCTTGGAAACAGGTTCAGGAGGTTAGCCCAGGAGGAACTGCTGCTGCCCATTGTTCCCCTGGTTGCAAGTCTCATGGGGACCTTTAGAGTTTAGGAGAAAGAAAATTCACTCAAAAAGGAGATTGAAGCATGTGTACCCCAAGGAGGGAACGCCGACTTTCAGGTCTTAAAGATGAGGAAAAGACCTCTATTTGCCTTTTGTGTTTTAAAGTGCAGAAATCAGACAGAACAGATGCAGAGGAGTCCAACACCAATCCATTCATGTATTCAAAAAATTACTTCAGCAACTATTATTTTCTAGAAGCCTATATGAAGAAAAACCAAGGTTCTTGCCCTCAAAACCTTCAATGTGTTAAGTGCCATGAGGAACAACAATTTGGAAGGCTCTCCCTGGGGACAGGTGATTTAAGGCAGGCTTCTGGAGGAGATGAGGCTTGAGTTGAGCCCAGAAGACGACGCAAGCAAGTCACAAAGGATGTAAGCCATATAAAAGAATTTTTCTTTGATCTTAAGGGCATTTGGAAGCTAGTTAGGGTTTTTAAGCTGTGGAGAGGTATGAGTAATTGCCATTATAGAATGATCACACCAGCTGCTATAGGAATGGGTTGGATGTGGAGAGAACTGGAGCAGGGAAACCCTTGAGGTGACTTGATGTATTCCAGATAAGAGACTGAGATCTTGAACAAAGGCAGTGGCAGTTGGGCATCTGAAAGACGGGATGTTTTTGGAGACATTTAGACTACAGAAGCTTTAAGACTTGGTGGCCAGGTGAAAGCAGAGAAAGGGAAGGAGGATATCACCCAGCATCTGCTGGGGAGGGCAGAGCTGTCTGGAGGTGGTGGTAAGGGAACAGGACAGTGGGAGAGGAGGGGCAAATTTGGTGGTGGAAGGAAGAAAACTAAGTTCTGTTGGAGTGCCTCTACTTCCTCCAGAACAATGTCCAGACTCCAAGGCTGCAGCTAAAGCCCTCTGCAGTATGCCTCCTGCCAACCCTCCCAGCTTTGTCTTGCCTCACACTCTTTCCAACCCAAACTCCAGGCCTTCCCATGCCCAATACAACCTACAAACCCTCCCGCCCTCACAGCAAGGCCTCAAGCTTGCTCTACCTTCTTTGCAAATCTCTTCCCTCATATTACCCTGTTAAAATCCTACCAACAACACCCCAGACTTCAAGATGACATCAGTAGTACCACCGAAGGAGAAGAAACTCATGGATGTCAAACGAGGGGAACTGCCAAGCTGGATACTGATGCAGAATTTCACCCCTAAAGCTGTTGCTGAAGCGTTTCAAAGAGGTCACTACCGGTATTACAAGTATGTCAGTGTCAAGAAAGGGAGCATCACTGGGGTTTCTATGGTGCTGGCAGCTTAGGTGCTTTTCAACTACTGCCGTTCTTATAAGGAACTCAAACAGGAGCAGTGAGTGAAGAGCACCACTGAAGAGGGCCCAGTGTGGACTCCACATTCCTGACCAGGACCTTTGCCCAGCGCCTTTCATATCATACTTAATAAAAGATGACTGGTTAAAACAAAATTTTTTTTTAAACTCTATGTAAAAAGCATTAATCATAAAAGAAAACACTGAACTCTTACACTAGAATTAAGAATTTCTGTGTATCAAAAGACACCAGTAAGGAGAGTGAAAAGACAAGCTACAGACTTGGAAAAGATACTCGCAAGCATATACCAGACAAAGAACTCAATTTCCGGACTATATAAAGAACTATAAATCCATAAGAAGACAAACAGCAGAGTAAAAAACAATAAACAAAAGATGTGAAAAAACATTTCACAAAAGAGTACATTCAAATAGCCAATAAGCACATGGAAAGGCCCTCAACACCAGAGACATTATAAATAAGGACTATATGTTATGAGATGCCACATTTAACCAAAATGGCTAAAAATAAAAGACTGACCCAGGAATAAGAGTAAACTAGAACTCTTACATTGGTGATGAAGGTGAAAATTGGTACACTTGCAAAACTGGCAATATCTACTGTTGCTGATCACCATACAAGCCAGCAACTCCTCTTCTGGAAATGAATTTACAAGTCCATAAAAAGAAACATAAAAATTCTCATTGCAACCCCTGGCCGAGTAGCTCAGCTGGTTAGAGCATCGACCTGATACTCCAAGGTTGTGGGTTCAATCCCTGGTCAGGGCACATACAAGAATCAACCAATGAATTTGTAAATGGGTGGAACAACAAATCAGTGTTTCTCTCCCCCTCTCTAAAAGAAAAAAATCAAGAAAAAATTTTAACAAAGAATGCTCACTGCAGCTTTGTTAATAAAAGCCAATAATTCATAACTAATAACCTAAATGTCGATCAACAATAGAACAGATAAATAGTGCTCTACACATACACTAGAATACTACTCAGCACTTAAAAAAAACAAGCTACTGCTACATACATAAGGATGAATGTCACAAAAATACTGATGAATGGAAAAAGTTAGACTCGCCCGGCCAGTGTGGCTCAGAGGTTGAGCATGAACCTATGATCCAGGAGATGGAGATGGCAGTTGGAGTCCCTGTCAGGGCACATGCCCGAGTTGCAGGCTCGATCCCCAGTAGGGGCTGTGCAGGAGGCAGTTGATCAATGACTCTCATTACTGATGTTTCTATCTCTCTCTCCCTCTCCCTTCCTCTCTCTGAAATCAGTAAAGACATATTTTTTTAAAAAGCCAGACTCATACTGTATCTACTGTATGATTACATTTAAATGAAATTCAAGAACAGACAAAACTGATCTATGGTAATAGAAGTCAGAAGAGTGGTTATCAGGATGCAGTACTGACTGGGAAGGGGCACAAGGGGTGCTGGAATAGTTCTATACCTTGATTTAGGAGGTGGTAACACTGATGCACACATATGCAAAAATTGTGCCCTTACTGTATGTTAAAAATCTAAAGATA